TTAACTCCACTCAAGACAGCGGTATTCAAACGATTCCCGAAGAGATACCGATTAATCAACTGAAGAACGGAATGTTTCGCACTATTGTCAGGGATTTGGTGTCACTTCTTAACGACTTGAATATGGAATACAACGAAATGGTATTAATTATAGACTATTTTTCTTTGCTTTTTTAAAAATTATAACATTTCATATGACATAATAATAGCCTATAGTTTTGTGAATGTAATGGGAATGACCTTAAAAATACTGATATTCATTATTAAGATATGATATGACTATTATTTTTTCTCGACAAACAATAGCCGTGTATATCGTGCCAAACGGTGGCCGACGAGAGGTGCGAACTCGAGAAGTTGCGCAAAGAAGTGGCCGCACAATCGGATCAATTGAAACGATCGGGCGATCAGTTAAACGAAATGACCAAACAGTTGACAATTCAAGACACGGAATTGACGGCCATTAAAGAGGAGAGGGAACTGTTGAAGAGTGACATTAGTAACGCTACGGGAATGGCAAAGGATGAGATCGTGAAGAGGGCGTGGGAAGTGAGGGATCAGGCGGTGGCCCGAAAGAACGTGGTTGAAGTGGAACTGGCGAAGACTCGCATCGAAGTGATGCACATTAATAGTCAACTCTTGGAAACTATTCAACAGAAGATTGAATTATCCCAACAACTGGAACAGTGGCAGGTATTGTACCCCAAACTCCACCACAACCCGACCCATAACCGCATACATACAGTACATATTCATTACCCCTCCCTATATATTACCCCTGATTACTGTGTTTATATCAATAGATTTATTTTGGTTTTTATTTTTCTTGAAAGTAATTTATAATAAATATATTAAAACATTAGAATTAGTTTATTGTTTAATTATATTTATAATAAATTTAAAATAAACAAAAAATAAGTANCCTCCCTATATATTACCCCTGATTACTGTGTTTGTATCAATAGATTTATTTTGGTTTTTATTTTTCTTGAAAGTAATTTATAATAAATATATTAAAACATTAGAATTAGTTTATTGTTTAATTATATTTATAATAAATTTAAAATAAACAAAAAATAAGTAAAAATAAATTAAAAGTCTGTAGAAATGTATGTCTGTATTACTAGAGCAGTGCAAATGTCAAGTAATTTGTGGTCCGAGAAACCAGTTTTCGAAAACAATTATAGTTTTATGTTTTATATTTTTGTTAATTTAATATTATTTTTGTTCACAATTTTATTTATATAATAATACGTTTATATTTATTCGTGTAATGATTATAATTTAGATGAGATTTAAGTCAAAAAACACAATATTATTACTATATATAGCAGTCTAAAGATCTAATTACAAAAGTCTGTAAAGTTTATAATATTTATAACTTTTTAAATCATAATAATAATCCGGATTAAAGTCAAACACATTAATTGTTTTGTTGTATATAATGTTACAATTAGGTGGATATGCAGATCCTTTTGGACGAACAGCTCAAGTCAAAGCTCACGTCTCAAGAATCGGGTTATAAGCCAAGAATGGGTGACATAACGGCCCTCAACAACAACAACAACGGATCCGATACGAAGACCTCAATGTATCCAATCGTTTCTCGAGGAACCAAATTCTTGAGACTTTGGAGATATAATTAAAATTATAAGACAATAGTATTTAAATGTATATTAATATAAAGAAGTCTGTGATAGAAATCATAATTACATTTCCCATTATAAATGCCTGAATAAAAGACAAGTGCCTCAACAAAAAGTGTTATTATAAAAAGTATTATTATATTAGACCAAACTTTCTCATCGTCTAAATCGTTAAAATATAGAAACAATTATTTTGTAATACATTTCAGTTTAATTCCCGTCTATAATAATGATGTTTTTTGAAGGCACTAAACGTTAATTACTGGCTTTGATTGTGATATTATAAATTAATTTCATTATATAACAGTATTTTAATGTCTAATTATTAAATAAATGTTCAAATAAATGCCTAAATATTTTATTTCTGTACAAAATCATTATTAAATAGTAAATTAATAAATCATTCTTAAAATAAATAATTTTAATCATAATTAAATTAAACTATTAATTTTTATATAGCATTATTGCATTAAAATTTTTGTAGTAAAATTGATTATTTAATTTTTATAGATTTTTAGGTCAAAATATAAGAAAAATAGGTTTTTAGTCAATAATATAAAAGTAAAGTATTTGTTAAACAATGGATTTTAAAGAAATTAAAATTTAATTATTAAATAAAAGTTTGAAACTTTCAATAATTTTAAGTAAAATAAATACTTAAATGTTTGGTTAATTGATACATGTATAAGTTACAACATAATACAAATCATGTATGTCAAATTTAGACAATTTTTAAATGATCAAATACTGAAATTAATCGGAAGATAGGAAAATATTCAATACATACTATAATTTCAATGATTATTAGTGTGACCAACCGTACACTTTTGAAGTGTACAGTACACTATTTGAGACTTCTGTACACTATTTTCAGACTGTACACTATTGTACACTTTTGGAAAATATTTCTATTAAAAACTAAAATAATAAAT